TAGGGAACCATTGTGAATGCCGAAACGTCATTAATGCCATAATCGTTTAAATTTTCCATTTAAAATTGTACCTTCGATGATACTGCTCATCATCTTTTTCACTGCAAGCCTAGTACTGTTGCAGAGGTGTGGCAGATTTATGTTTTAGAGAAGATTGATAGGCACGTCAATTTTCAATGTTAAAACGTGTGGTGACATGCTAGCAAATCAAGTGAATGCAAGAATTCCTTTGGATAATTGACAACTTCATCTTGATTCACTACAGTATCGATGGACTTATATGTTGTCACTTCACCTGGTAATTTGTCTTGAATGCTCAGATTCATGGCATGTACATCCTTTTTTTGGCTGCTAATATTGCAGGTGCACTGATGATTTTTTTTTTATTTTTTGCCCTCAAAGAAATCGGAAGGATAGAGGACTTTGGGGGCAGTGAATCCACATCACTCAACAGAATGACAGACTTGGGAATTAAGATCGGCATAGCAAAAACCAAGATGCACACCATAAACACCAGAAGACTTGTTAATCAACATAGAGCTGGTACTATTAGCCATCGGACGCTGGGGTTCATACTGAGGGGAGGATCCGAGCACCTATGGACATGTCCAGAGTGCAATGATGATAACCCAACTAACTAACTAACTGATGATTTTTGTAATTCTGTGCGATATTGGGAAAACTTTGTGAATCAATTTGTCCGTGGTTGCTGTGATTTTACAAAAGTTTGTTGGCAATGTGATACATTGTGTCTATTTTTCAGTTGGTATTTTCCCATTCCTAATATCCAAAAATTGTTTTGCAAAATGTTCAGCGGTTGCATCGTTTTGTAGTTGTGTGCGCATATTGGTTTTCAAAGTTAATTTATGTATGATTTTCATTTCTTATGACCTGTGAAAAAAATCTCTTTGGGTGAACAATTTCATACAGATGCAGATGTAATAAACGCAGTAAACAGTTAATTCAATGAGCAACCACAATCCGGTTTTTATGTATGTGTGCATGGATGGCATTCACTGCCCATGTAAGCAATGGGGAGCTTGCCTGAATGCCTACAATGACTTTTCTTATCAACCTTGGTAAATAATTCATTCAGAATGAATGCTTGGTTGAATTCTGCCACACCTGTTGATGTTTATTTCATGCTGTTTTAATAAAACCATTGGAATGGGTTTTTAAAAAATTCCCCATATACCTCAAGCTTCTTAACCCTTTCGCTGCTATGGACGTCTTTTCCCGTTTTTCCGTACGCTGCTACGTCCGTCTTTGGACGTTATTTTTTTTTCTTGACCCCCAGTGCTATGGACGTACCAACCCGTTTTTGGACTTTCCTTACAGATTTCTGTGACCTCTTGTCTCAGGGGCCAAAGGGCAATATACATTAGCTATATTTAGATTCAACTGACCCATTTACATACAATATAAAGCACTGGCACGTGCATTCAGGTGTGTTTAAGGTGTATTTACTGCATTCCGTGTTATCCCATCACTTTGTTTACCATGACAGCGTGGTCGGTGATCTGTGTATTTTGTGCCCTGATATATTTGTGGGTTTGGATTATTCTACACTTTGTTAGTACTAAATGGCAAGAACACTTATTAAAGTTGATGAAGAATTGATGGAGTTTCTGTCAGGAAGTGATAGCAAAAAAAAAGATCACAACGTGCGAAATGAGATGCTTACGTAAGGCTGCCAATGTCACAAGGAGAGACAGAGTTCGAAACGAGAACATTAGACCAATTGTAGGAACCACACCATGCCTGCAATACATAAAGAAGCAACAAATCGAGTGGTTTGGCCACTTGATGCGAATGCAAACCGACCAACTGCCTCTACGAGCATACAACGAACAACACTACTGCCCTAGAGCAAGAGGCAGACCGAGAGTACGATGGATAGACAATATATCAGAGATCCTGAGGCAACATGGACTAACAACAACACATGCAACACACCTGACCCAGGATAGAAAACTGCGACTCCCCACTACGCTGTGAGGCAATTGTGGACAAGACAAGACAAGTGATAGCAAAGTTGACTTTAAAATGTGTACTTCTGACAGTGAACAAGAAGATTTGACTAGGCCATCAATATCGACGGCTCAAACCGGCGTGTCCAAGAAAAGCTGTTTGCCTGTCCAACGTCCTCATCATCAGAATCAGAAAGCAGCTACAATGAAGCGCCATCAAAACGGCAAAAAATTGATCAGTTGTTTTGGTCAACCGATGATTTGATTTCAGTAGTGCATAATTTTGATGACTCCAGCTCTGGGCTGTATTTCTGCTACTGTAAATTCAAGCAGTTCAGTGCTTGATTTTTTTATAACTTTTTTTTCATGGAATCACTGATGACTTTCATCGCAGCGGAAACTAACAGGTTCTGCAAGGAAGTAATTGAGAAGGCACCTGCAACTACAAGTTCTCGTCTTTCCCGATGGACAGACACAGATTCGGACAAACTTTTTTTTTTGTCTGTCTGCTAATGCTTAGAGCAAAGAAACTCAAAATAAATGAGCACTTGAGCAAAGACTGTTTGCTAAAAACTCCTGTGAAATAATGTAGAGGGACAAATTTTTACTATTGTTGAGAATGTTACATTTCTCAGACAACAGTGCTCATGCAGGCGGCGATGGACTACAAAATTAGACACATTATTGATAGTCTGCGCACATCATTCATTATTATTATTTACACTGCACAATGCCTCAAGCGGTACTCTAGTGTATTTGATATCACGTACGCTTTAGAATTGGAGGGTCGTGTGTTCAACCCCCAACTTTTTTTGTTTGTTTATTATTGTAAATTTTTCTTTTGGTTCCTGCTACTTTTCAGCAATGGATGACTCAAGTATTATTATTATTATTATTATTATTATTATTATTATTATTTGGTATGTAATAACATGGTGACTACAAATAACTATGATTAAAGTGGGAGCCATGGTAGGTTCATCAATCAAATTTTGGGATACTGACTGGGAACAGCTTTTCCCATTAATTCCTCACTCTCCCCCTCCACCCTCCCCCCCCCCCCTTTGGTAGCTTGGTTAGTCAAGTTTGTGGGGCACCATCGTACTTCTGACTTGTCACCACTCGGGCCAACCACACAACTCCCCAGGGTAACAATTTTTAGGTGTAAAAAAAATATAGCTCTCACCGCCGATGCATCTTTTGCGTTTGGAGGATAGAAAAGTATTGCGCACAGCTGAGACTTTTTTCCCCACATTGCTTAGCACAGGGCAGACAGCTACGGCCAGGAACGTAGCAGCGAAAAGGTTAACTAATCAAACTTGTAGAAACTAAACTAGGTTCAAAATATTAAAAAAAAAAAAAAAAAGAGCTGTTAAGACCTATCCGGTACAGTCCTTGAAAGCAGGAATAATCCCCAAAAAACGAACTGGGTCAGAGCAAAGAACCCAGTAAATTTGCATACTTAGGAATTAGTATCTTTCTCCTGTTTGGACATATGTGTTCTTGCTAAGGTGGTTTGGTAAACAACTTTCAGTTGTACAGACTCTTTAGTAGTCAAGTGCAACTAGACAATAAAAGTGCCATATTCACACTCAGCATTAGCCCTCCAAATCATCTTATGCTCCATACAGAACAGCATCTTCTATGAAATAATAATAAGCATCAGAATGTGTCTACAAGAACAGAACTAATTATGTGTTGGAATTTGTAAATATATATATATATATATATATATATATATATTTTTTTTTTTTTAAATTGATTCAGAAACCATGAGATTTAAACCCTTTGGCTCAGTACTATTTATATTGCAACCCTTCAACCTTGATTCAAATTTCACAATGGGGAAACAGCTGATCGAAACATTGATCTGATTGAAATATTTTGTTCAATTTTCATATCCTAAACTAAATTATGGCCAGTAGGTTTGTCACTTAGTTATCAACCATATATTTCAAGACTGTTGTCACCATTTGGCAGAGATTTATCAACGACAGATCAGTATGAATAGTCCTAGACCTTTTACCTTATCATTTAGTTTAAAAAAATCACGTAAAAATTGTATCCCATCTAAATAATTTTTTTTTAAAATCAGAAAATAATGCACCAATCAAGATAAAGTTTGCAAACGAAAGGACTTTCTGTTGTTAATCCTAATTGTTCAAAAACTTGTTCATAAAAGTTTGTTTTCCCCACAAACGTTACACAGTTAGAGTGTCTCTATCATACGCCAGTATACTGGCGATTCGTCCATTAGGGATAAATGTATTTGCCAGTACACTGGCGATACGTCTTTGAGGAGGTAAAGTCCCTATGCCTTTAAAATCTAATATGGGAGTTCCAATTCTGATGTCACCAGCAACTGTCTGATTGTATATTCGTCCCCCTTTCCTTGAGTGTTGAGCATAGGCCATATCCCCTGCCAACTCCTTACAGCGCCATTCTCCTCAGACAGTAATGATCTGTTTGCACTTCCACACTGTTCACTCGCTCACAGAGGGCCCTAAAAACGTCTAGCTTGTCATACATCAATTCACCACCAACTGGTGCAGGAGCAGGCAGATAGACTGGCCGGTTCTATCTGCCTGCTCATTTCCCAACACGCTGGCATGACCTGGAATGAATATCCAAAGGATACTAGCTACCTATGACCTCTGAAGTGATGCTACCAGCTACAATGACTATATTATAGTGAAGCTAGTTTTCCCTCAGACATTTTCTCTCTCTAGCTTGCTGCATTTGGCCTCTTGCAAACTGTGACTGTGACACTGTCTGCAGCTGTTCTCTCCCATGTGTCTGTAAATGTTGGTATCTTTCAGGTCATGTTTGCATGTCTGTTAAATGTATTATGCAAGATTCCATGTATATTTGTGACAACCACTTTAGCTACATAGGTAGCATTTACAATTTGTTCTAGATCCATGCGCTGTTTATAAAAATAAATGGTCCTACTTTACCCATACTTTAATGGATTTAAAGGAAATAATTTTTTTAATTTTTTATTTTGTTTCTGTGTGTTCCCTTTTCTAGTTTAGCCGGAATTCTGGAAAGGGGAATGGGGAAACTGATATGTGGATAGCATACTGTGCTTTCCATCTTGGAGATTACAAACGTGCTTTGGAGGTTTGTATTATATAATAAACTTTATTATTTGTGTAATATGTTTGTTACATCTGCCTCAACTCCTTAAGGAGACCTAATGGAAACATGTTAAAAAAAAAAAGTTTTTTGAATGCAATTTTAAAAAAATCCAGTCTTAGAGAGAATTACTGATTGATTACTGATTTAAGAATCGAATCCTAGCACACCGGGTCATAGGTGCTCCGTCTCCCGCAGCAATACGTAAGGTGAAGATGCTAACTGTTCCCGTAGCACACTGATTTTACACTCGCTGATCTCTTCTTGTCATCCGTCCCTCCTTGCCAGATCCACACTTAATTCCTTGTTCACACATTCTTGCCTATGTTATTTCATCTAATCTTGTGTCTTCTGCCAAAAGTCGTTCTTATATGTTTTCAGAATATCTCCCTTGTCCACTACGATTGTTCCCGTAGCTTTCGCTTTTGTAGCCAGATAATCCACTCTTTCATTCCCTCACACTCCTGCATATCACAGACAATATATCCACGGGATTCCCTGCAATGTTGGCGTACTGATGCATGGTATCCACTCATGCCACATTAGTCCATTTTGAACCTTCCGCAATGCTGACTGAGAATCCTCCTTCCTTCGCATTGGCTTGTGAAAGAAAGTTAGCCGCCTGAATATTCCCAGTGAGAAGAGAAAAACTTAAATAATATGACTACTGATAGGATTTGGGGGGGGGGGGGGGGGGGGGGGAGAGAAATAGTATAACATGAAATGATTTTTGGTCGAATTTTATCATGGCATAGAACGTTGTCAGTGTAGTGGAACAGGTTTCTATTTTACTCACTATGACAGGGGTGCGAGTTTAAATCCTCCTTCCTGATGCAAGTGAGAAACCGAGACAGGTGTCTTTTGATGCAAAGAGCAGTGTCCCTGGATAATCAGATACAGTCTCGCATTGGCTTGTGAAAGAAATTTAGCCGCCTGAATATCCCCTGACTCGCATTGGCTTGTGAAAGAAAGTTAGCCGCCTGAATATCCCCAAAAATGGGAAAAAGGAATTTAGATACCTAGAGAACACTTAGACAGAGCAGATTACCCTTCTTAACAATTTCCCTGTCTGGTCATTAAAATAAGCTTCCATCTAGGTAAATTGGTAGACAGCACTAACCTGACACCATACATTCTTCTTAAAATACATTAAAGTTTAATGAATGTAAATCAGTCATAAATGTTTCTTAAAATAAAGTTAATATCGGTTATTTAGTACTTTGGAAATACAATCCTCTAACCTAATTGATACAAAAGATCAAAAAATGATAGTCATATGAAACTGTCATCATGAGAGAGTTAATTAGAATTTGTAGGGACAAACATCAGTTACCACCTGGGGGGTTCCCAGAGGATCTTCATCCAAAATTGATGTTAAACTGCAAGAGATACCAAGACCTTTCTCAGGTCACCTCTGTCCTCAACTGTGACAGCCTGGCATTGGTCTGGAAACTTGTCCTGCGACAAGGAATCTGTCTTTGGCTTTTCAGCAGCTAGGATGAAAACAGTCAGAATGTGTAGTCCCTAATTCTCTGCAGAAAAAAAATATATATTCTCAACTTTTTCCTCTCTCTTCATATTGTCAGAAGTGGGGAAAATTCTCTTGGAGCGTGGTCATTTACAAAACTTCCACTCTGCCTCTCAAGACCAATGAATGGCGTGCAACTCTACACAAGGGCGCAGCTACATGTGAAGCAAACAGAACATCAAGACTGAAAAAATAAAATGATGGATGGAAAGGCGACTACGGATCCCCTCCCTGGCACAACACTTATTCCTTGTCCTCACTGTCCAAGAATTTTTCGGGCCCACATTGGCCTTAACAGCCATCTTCGTACTCATACTTGATGAAAAAGAGTGGTAGTCATCATCTTGATGGACAGCACACACAATCTTCTGACTACTATCCAGTCAAGATGAATGGTCTTCCATCTTCTGTCCTTCGTGATGATAATTAATACTGCATATTTCCTCAAGCTCGGACAGCAATATACAGTTATAAATGCAGCACACAGTCAGACAGATCGCTGTAGAATTATCTCTATAAACAATGAGGAGTCTAGATAAAATTAGCAGCTTTTCTTGTCTTCCAGATATTCCATTGTGTGGTTAATTTCTAGTTTGTAACCAGCTTTTGTGGTGCTGGGAGAAAAAAGTTTTCCAGTGTGACAATATGTCATCAACATCACAGCCTTTATTAAGGCTGTTTCTAAGTAAGATAATCACATTAGTATCTATCCTTAAAAAAAAAAAAAACCAGCATTTACTAAAACACAAGTAAACATCATGATTTACAAGTAAACATCATGATTTATAGAAGTATGAACATGTATCTCTGGCGAAAATGACGTCATTTTTTACCTAGCCAAGATGGGAAAAACATAGGGTTAAAAGAGATGGTACATAATTAAAGGTATCATTGTCTACTTGAAGCGGCATCTCATGACAGCAAAGTTATACATGTTGTTTGGTATTGTAAGATTTGGAGAAGCATGGTCACCTTTTGCATTTGTCGAGGAACTTTGTGATAATTTTTGATATTATATAATTTGAGTACTAGATGATTATAATGTTTTAGTAATATATTCTGAGGAAGTACCTCTACTAGAATATTAGAAAATTTAAAAATGTATTCACGACTCATTTATTTATAACATTTTCTATGTTTATATCGCCATGTATAGCTTGGGGTTTATTTATGACCTAGTGTTTTGATGTGGCGCGGTGATTTATGTCACAGGCGTGAGGGGAAGTTAAGTCCAACATGACGTGTATAAGGAGATACTCCGTACGTCACTCGGGCGCCAGTCCTTCGCTGTTCTGGTTTTACGGAACCTCACGCAAGACCCCTGCAGCACGTCCTCATTGTGTGCCACGAATAATGTCTCAAATGAGCATTAACAGAGCTGTCCGGGGATCTCGGAGTTTGGCGGCCCCCAGAGGTGATGTGTCCTTGTGGCTCTCATCAGCCCGCCCCCAAACGCTTGGGTGAAAAAGGTTATCAAAACTCATTAGGAACATGAGTATGCTTGCCAATCGTACAGCTAAAAATCACAACCCTTGGTTAAAAGATTGCGGAGTGAAGAGAACATTGTTCCTGTACATCCCTGTTAACCCTCAGTGTCGTCGTCACCGCGCTGAGGTACACCGCAACAGCAACCATCCAGAGGCTGGCCATCCATGTACATCCTCGGTTAACCCTCAGTGTCGTCGTCACCGCGCTGAGGTACACCACAACAGCAACCATCCAGAGGCTGACCATCCATGTACATCCTCGGTTAACCTTTAGTGTCGTCGTCACCGCGCTGAGGTACACCACAACAGCAACCATCCATAGGGTGGCCATCCATGTACATCCTTGGTTAACCCTCAGTGTCGTCGTCACCGCACTGAGGTACACCACAACAGCAACAGCTCATTGGCTGGCTAAGCCTAAATGTCCGACAAAACTAGATCCTACGGCATACGAGTAAGCCCAAAATCTGACCACTACAATTGTATTGAACGGAAAAAGACCAAATGTCCACACCCAAAGACCCCACTCGCCCGAGTGTTGGGACCAAACTGATAACGATATGCCTGACGCAGGATGTAAAATTCTGTCGGGCCAACGGCTCGTCAAAGAAATCTAACGTGCGAGAAAAAAAGAATGTACCTATTCGTGTGGTCACAAAAGTCCAAAACCCACGGGCTGCTCCCCGCTGACTTCCAGAGGGCGCAGCTCTTGTCGAGCGGGAAGCCTAATACGGTTGTGAGGTTAAGCAGGCATGTGCAGGACGTGACGATTCCTTGGGTGAGCCCAGAACCAGAGCGCCATGTGTCGGCTCTGCATACATGGAAGCCTCCTTGGATGGCGGGGAATGCCCATGATCTGCCCCTGCCTTCCCTTGAGGGCTAACCATTCCACAGGGGGCTGCCCCAAAGGGGTACTCCAGGGGCAATACCTGCGGAGAAGGAGACAAAGTGGACTCCACACAAATCAGGCAACCCACACAAAACAATGGCCACAGTCAACCTAGAAATAGGCCTGACGTCTTCCTTCGAAGTCGGAGTACAGCTGCCCAAGAGGCAGGGAACATTAAAACAGTTGTACACACAAAAGTCAGGTCCGGGTGATAGCCAAAAGTCCAAGCGGACGATTAACCGGGACCTTCCGCCGGAATTCACAGCCGGTGAACGATTAATAATAATAATAATAATATTGTTTTGATTTTGACAATTATTTGAGTGTCAAGTTATTCAGAAAGAATGCCAAACTTTTTTCTTAAAATCCATGCCATGTGGGGTTGGTAGTAATGTCTATCCACAACCATCTATCTCATGTACTTTCAATCTGCTCTGATACAGATGATCCTACATGCCATGATGTCAGACTATCTGGCATCTTTTCTGTTGGTCTCCCTGTGCTTCTTTTCCCCTCCAACATTCCTACTCTTCATCCCATGACCAAAGAATGTAGATTGTCTCTTTCTCACATGGGCAATCAGTGGGATCAGTTTCTGTCAAGACATCTTCATTACTCTTTATATCTGTCTAGTGTATTCTCATCAATTGTCTATAAAATCACATCTCTGCAGCTTCCAAATAATTTTTCACTTATCCACTAACTGTCCATGATTCACATCTGTATATCAGGATAGGATTTATGTAGATTTTAAAATTCCCTTTCTCATCTCAATGAAAAAAGGTAGCATAAAGTATTCTTCGTTTTGTTGTCCTTGCTTGTGCTATTCTACATATAACTACTTTAATACATCTTCCGTCAGATATTATCAATGAACCCACGTACTTAAAATATCAGTTTGCTTGAGGTTTGTCCCATTTGTTTTGATACTGCATTTTGGAGGGTCAGTTTTCTTTGTAAATACCATTACTTTTTATCTGCTGCTCAAACTAAGATCCTTTGGTTTGCAATGTCCCATAAAAGGATATGAACTTGTTTTCTTCTTTGCACAAATTAATTACCAGCAAAAGTATCAAATGTCAGTTACAGTGCAGTTTAAACACTCATCAAATTCCTTATTTTAAGCAAAACTTAATTAGACAAATATATTGCTAGATTTATAAACACCCGGCTCCCTAGCATAGTTGGTTAAACCTGACTTCATGGTGACCGGGTGACGAACTCCTTGTGGTCCGGGTTCACGCCTGGGGGTAAGCAGAAAAGCCACATTTCTTCCAGATTTACAGTATCTATCATGGAATCAAGGCCGAAGGGTTGCGATATCCATAGTACTGAGCCAAAGGGTTTACAACTCATGGTTTCTGGATATAAAAAAAAAATTCATGGTGTTATCTTTAAGTTGGATACGAGCAAACCATAATCATGCCACAACATTTAAAAGATCGCAACATCATCAGTTTCTCCTAAACTTGATAAATAAAATGTAAATTCTGTGCTATTTTTTTTTTTCAGATAATATAAATTATCCTGTCCACAGCACAACTACATACTAAATCAGTCTGCTACTGTGTATTATTTTCTTTAATATATTGATATAATATATTTTTAGGATTATTTTCTATCATTCTGTTGGACTGCTGTGTTAATTTGCTGAAGTTTTTATTGGTTCTGTAAACCTAATTTAGATATTATTACATTCACAGGAATATGAAAGATTGTCAAAACGAGAAGGTGTAAGCCCTGATATTTGGTTGTATATTGCATGCTGCCAGTTTTTTTTGGGAATGTATCCTGAAGCAGATGAAAACTGCAGTAAATGTATGTTTTATGTTGTATTGTTTAATGTCATCTTCACTAACTATATAATTAGGACATTGGATAAATCAATAGTTTTCATGGATCTTTTTCTTCTTCTTCTTCTTCTTCTATGTTCCTGGAATACTTCACAATGTCAGGACAGGAAGAGATCTTTGGAACAGGCTCTTCTGTTTGCTTTGTGTTTAGTACTTTTCAGCATCTCCAGTATTTCTATGGTCCATGTTACCACTGTATCTGTATTCTGTATAACATTATTCTCTGTTGATCTGTTGTCTACTGATAAAGTTCAGTATTGGTTCTGAAAGAAGTTTTGAAAAAGGCGGGAGCCAGAAGACAGCTTATCACAAATATCAGGAGACAGTCATCATTTTTTGGCCATGTTATGCGACGAGGGAAAATGGAACATGTTGTGACCACTGGAAAGATCTGTGGAAGGAGGGATAGAGGAAGACAACAAGAGAAGATTCTTGACTGACTTGGTGCATGGCATGGAGGTGTGTCGGCACACGAACTGATACATGCTGCAGGAGATCGCAGCTTGTGGAGAGGTATAATCGCCAATGCCAGTTGGCAAGGCACCTGATGATGATTGGTTCTGTGTCGAATCTCCTCCTGATATCATGGTTCCTAAGTCTGTCTTTCCTTGTTACACCTAGCATAATACGTAAACATTTCATTTCTGGCATGACTGTTTTTCTTCTGAAGACAGTGTCCATGTCTGACATTGATAACGTAGCATTGCTAACAATATTGTGTTCAACAGTGATGTTTTAGTGTTCATATTTATGTGCTTGCATTTCGGTATAGGTGCCATTTGTCCTATAACTTGATCCACTTTAATGCATCTTTGTTGTATTTCTTTATTCATTCTCCCATTTTCTGACAAAATACTCCCTAGATATGTAAAATTCTTGATGGATAAATTTTCCCCCATAAAACAATAGTTAAGGCAACATGGGAATCACCAGACCATAAGACAGCCAATCAAATTGATCACCTGTGTATTAACAAAAAAGTTTAGATCATCCCTTTAGGATGTTAGGGCTTTCAGAGGTGCCGATGTATTTACTGACCATTTTCTGTTGGTAATTAAAATCAAGTTGAAACTTAAAAGATATATAACATCTTATAATCATAGAAACCAGTATAATATAGGTTATCTCAGGGATAACAAAGTTACAGAAAAAATTTCAGTAACAGTCTCTAATAAGTACCAAGTGTTGCGGCAGTTAGCTGAAGAGGTAAGCCCTGAAGTTTGTTGGGTTCAGACCAAGGAAATCTGGAATAAATCTTTTGTAGAAGTACTCGATAAGAACAAATGAAAACATTAAGCGTGGATAACAACAAAAACTATTAAAATGATTCAAGAAAGGAAAAGTGAAAAATCAGGCTTAAACAATAGCAAAACTAGAGCTGCTAAATGTAGAGCTCTTACGTTTAAACAATAGCAAAACTAGAGCTGCTAAATCTAGAGCTCAGGAAAAATACACAAAAGCAAGTGAGGAAGTTAAGAGGCGTATTAGGTCTGATAAAGTGAAATAATCAGATGAAGCTGTTTCATCAGCAGCAAAAGGAAACCTCAGAGACCTTCACAGTAACACAGGGAAATTAGCTGGTAAATAACAGTCATCCAGCTGGATCAATAAAAAATAGTCAAGGAAAGGTACTCACCGCCACCAAAGAATATTTTGAAATAGTTCTAAAAAAGACTAGTCCCAGAGGATCCTGCAGATATTCAGCCTCTAGAAATTAAACTGGATATCAAATGTGAGATACCATCCAAAGAGGAACTTAGAAAAGCTATTAATCTTCTGAAGCCACATTAAGTATAATAATCGAGCAAAGCATTGAATTGAATTCACCACTTTACATTGGATTTGTAGACTATGAAAAAGCTTTTGACAGTATTGAGGGAATCTTTCTGGAAATTAATGGAGCACTATGGAATCTCATGTCCAAAAACACAGTGAAGATCAAAATCTGTTCTTGAATTTAAAGAAAACTAAAATAATGTCCACAGATAAAACTGGCAGTCACCCAAAAATAACAATAAATGTTGAAGAAATTGAAAATGTCACAAACTTTCAATAACTAGGCTCTATAATAAACAACAATGGAGACTGTTCGACAAAAATTAGAAGGAGGATGGCCATAGCAATGCAAAGATTGAACAGCCTTAAAAGTCTATGGTTAAGCACCAGCAAGGAGATAAAAATTAGAATTTTAAGAGCATGCATCTTCCCTGTGGCTACACACGGATGTGTGTCGTGGACTATCTCTCAGTCCTTAAGAAAGAGAATAGGGGCTTTTGAGCTGAAATGCTATAGAAAGATTCTCAGAATATCTTGGACAAAGAAGATGAGAAATATTGACATCTTGAAAGATCTGAACATCAAGGAAGATTGGCTAATAAACAGCATCCTTTCTCAAAAGCTGAAATATTTTGGTCATATCAAGCGCCACGACGGATTGGAAAAAATTATAGCAGAAGGCATGGTACCAGGAAGTAGATCTCAGAATATCTTGGACAAAGAAGATGAGAAATATTGACATCTTAAAAGATCTGAACATCAAGGAAGATTGGCTAATAAACAGCATCCTTTCTCAAAAGCTGAAATATTTTGGTCATATCAAGCGCCACGACGGATTGGAAAAAATTATAGCAGAAGGCATGGTACCAGGAAGGAGGGGCAGGGGCCGACCGACACGAAGATGGGCACAGGATATAAGTGAATCCTTGAGTGTAAAAGTTCATGAGGTGGGAGAACTGGTGAGAGACCGAGTTTCTTTCAGGCAGACTGTGATGAGAGCAACGTTCTGCAAAGGACCTGCTACATGATGATGATGATGGAATCTCATAGAAAATTATTAACTTCGTAAAGGCAGCATACAAAGATAGGAAATGTCGAGTTCTTCTTGAAGGAAAGCTAACAGATACATTTGAAATAAAAACAGGTGTGATAACCCTGCTTTGCATGGTCTCCACGCTCACAGTAAGTCAAGCAGAAAATCCGTGCCACAAACGACTGCACAAGGTACTTGGGGCTGGAAGGGTAAGTGAAGGAAAGTCTGAGGTTGACTCGTGGTTATTTGTGTACCAGAGTTAGAAGAGGACAGTCGTGATGTTGTCACTGTCAATAGATTGGATTATGAAGACAGTAACTGCCAACACCAAGATTGGAATTCAGTAGATCCTTACAAAACATCGTGTTGGTCTGGACTTCACTAATATTTCTCTTTTGTCCCACTCACAGAATCGGATGCAAGATAAATATACTTCATATGAGATCACAACAGCTAGGTCTTAAATTCCTAAGAGAAAGACAAAGATAATGACAATAAATCAAGCAAATATTACGGTGGTTTCTCTTAATGGTATCCCACTTCAAGACGTGGAGTCGTACATCTATTTGGGCAATAATGTAGACAAAGATAGAGAAACTGATAGAGATTTTAAAATAGGAATACAGAAGGCAAGAGAAGCTTTCATAGCACTAGGCTGGTGAGTTTTTGTGTTTTTTTTAAAATATGGACTTGGACTTCATGGCACTAGAAAATTTGTGGACGTCAAAAGAAATTCTAACTATTACTAAACAAAAAATTTTTTATTCCGATATCAAATCAGTACTTTATGTGTAGCGGAAACATGGAGAACAACTCAGGCAGTTAATAATAAACTACAAACATTCATAAACTATTGCCTGCGCAGAATAGAGGGAATTAAATGAAAGAAAGAATCACTAATGTAAATAAAGCTTTGGGAAAGAACTAAACAAGTTTCGGTGGACCAAGAGGTGAAGAAAAGACACTGGCATTGGGTAGGACACACTTGAGAAAAAAAATGAGAGCAACAGTATAACTAGAATGTCTTTGCACTGGAACCCACAGGGGCATAGAAATAAAGGAAGACCAAAAACAGATGGAGAAGAGAGCTAATGAGTGAGCTAGAAAGAGGGGAAGAACATGGGGAGAGCTCCATGGGATAGCAAAGGATAGAACGACTTGGCGTGATCTGGTTGAGGGCTGAAGCACTATCACACTCTTGGCTCCAGTCATCTGCAGACTTCTCAGGTGCACACCGGCTTATACTTCTAGTATGTTGAAATCCGAACAGTGCAAATACATAGCTGATGCTAATGTCAATGTTTGTTGATTCACACAATCGCCTCTAAGCCAGTACACCCTGCGGTGACAGTCTTTGGATCGCAGCTCAACAACTAATTGCACAATATACAGTTCAAGGAATAATTACCTTTGTACAAAATGAACACATAAATAATTTGACGGCAATAACTTTACAGTCACAATCTTTTACGCTGAATAAACAACTAGTCTGTCTGGACTAAAGCTGCCAAGGGTTTTGTCTAAGAACTCATAGCCAAATTTGGTTCAAACATCACCTTGTAACTTGATTCATTTATCCAGATAGCTGACACATTGTTCTTGAAACCTAAAACGAGACTGACTTTTTGCGCTTATTCTTTGACTTAAATAAAATTTCATTCTTCCATGTTTCTTGATCATTCATTCACGTAAATTCATGATTTATTCACTTTAGCTTGTAGCCAGCAATCTGCATGCTTGCGTTACAATCAAATATGTAACTTGTTCAGCCTTAACCCAATTCATTCGAAGAAGACTTAGCCCATTTTAGTTTTGCCTTTTCTTTCCCGTTGATACCTCACTTGGTACCCAAAAAAAATAAAAGCAGTCGTCCAAACTAGATTTATGTATTACCTCAAACCACTGACTTCACATTTATCCAAATCATATCTTTTTGAAAAAGTTCATATAGTCACTCATAATGTAAACAAAAATATATATATATATTATGGTTTCGCAAGTCCATACAATAGCACTGTCATCACATTAAAATCCTGATTATAAGGCTACAAGTATTCCCCAGGTAAAATTTCTTCCAGAACACATAACCCTGGCTAACATGGTAGGCTTGCCCTAATCAAGATTTTCTTTTCCCGAGCCTGTTTTCACCTTACTCTGACTAGTTGTTTGTGCATAGGGTGAGCAGTGTGTTCATGCTTACTCTGAGATAGACAGTGTGTAACATAAATGAATCCTGTTGATCAATAAAAGAAGATGCAGCGAAAATCGCGTCATTTCCCTACAGTGGTATATCACAAAGAGGAGTCACAACCTGCAGTTCCTTTGACCTGTCAGTCTTTTATGGGTCTTAGTCTTGACAGTGACAACTTCTTCTTCCACCTTGTACCTCAGCAAAGTGTTGGGGTGGGGGGGGGGGGGGGGGGGAATGTATCATTCGTTGGTGAACTTTGTCAAGAGCACTATTAAGACTGATGTTCATTTGTGTAAGGCTGTGCTTAATGCCATCACTCCATATTTTCTGAGGTCTTCCATTCGCTCTATACCCGTTGTAACATTTTAATGTGGCCTGCTATGGCAGATGGTACCAGAGCATTCTTTTTAGGTGTCCAAGCCACTTCATTTGTTGTTCTTTGATGACTTGTAAGACTTTATTCCTAGCATTTGTTTGATTTTGTGATTTTGTATCTGTCTTTCCTTGAAACTCCTGCAGCTCTTCTAAGGCATTTCATCTCTGTTGTCACAATTGTACATTCATTGGAGGATGTAAGTGTCCATGTTTGGCACTGATTGCACAGTGTTGGCCAAAAAATAGTTCTGATAAGAACAGGGACGACATGCTCTGTAAAATTGATGCCTTGTTCAATCTTTAAATGTATGCACAACATTGATATTGTTCTTTTAATATCAACTTTGAGTAGATTTATGAAAATGTGATGCTTATAGAAAACCATGTGTATACTAATTTAGCTAAATTGACCATTGTACTAAACGTTTCACACCGCTAAATCACACTCTTCAACATGTTCCATTGGCCCTGGACTATTATATCTCTGTCCATTATCATAGTGAACAAATTCCAGACAGAAGTATGCTAAGTCACACAAAAGGTCAGATATCCCAGAGCTGCTGTGAATAGGCTTAATACAGTTACATCAGAACATAAAACTATATTTGACAATGCTAAAGAAGAATATTTACATCCTTGGCTTGTCAGTATATTAAAATATTGTTAGTATGGGGCAGTGGCTTACCTCTCTGACAGTTGTTTATTTTCTCACACACTATCACTAATATGATGTTTGTTCACTGAGGATAATCTCTCATTATCAGATCAGATGTTCCTACAAGACTAGTATTTGACTCTTAAAAAAAATGTTGGCCTTCCCTTTGTAATATTGTATGTAACACCATTTAAAACAAGCAGGAAAATGAGTACAGTTTCTTGTAACTTTACACCTACTGAGGTAATTTGATGAAAAGCATAACTCTGCCGGGTTGGCCGGTATCAGTACTGCACACTTCTCTCTCTCATTGCCCTTAATAATTAGTACATTATGACAGTGCCATATTTCCAACCCACTATAGGCTCATTCATCTTTTGAAATCTGTTCTTTGTCATGGTCATGTGCCCAATTCCAGTTGCTGGCCCTCCAAAACATCCCTTTCTTTGATTTTATGCACTTTCACACCATCCAGGTTTTTATAAAAAGAGTTTTTTTTTTTTTTATTTGGTTTCACTAATAAATACTTTTGCTTTGGTCAAGGTTGTGGTCTAATTTAATATACAATAAAAGATCAAGCTTGCATCACAAGGTAGTAATTAGTATTTGTGTATTCATCCAAGAATGTTGCATTCACATTTGGCAATGAGAGTGAGTTGGGTAGAGAAAAGCGAAGGCTACTGAGATATTGTGCCTAGTCAGTGCAATATTTGAGTGTGGAAGATAAAGCAAAATAATAATGGTACATTATAATTTCAAAAATAACTATTATCATTCATAAAGGTTCTAAAAGTCGACTCCAAAACAGATTACAGTTTCATCTTTCTCACAAGTTTGGAGATGAGCGCCGTCTGATGAGTTTTCATCAAAGTCTACAGGATATTATTGAAGATCAATTGTCTTTGGCATCAATTCACTATCTCCGCAGCCACTATCAGGAAGCCATTGATATTTACAAGAGAATATTGCTAGATAACAGGTTTGTATAAGTCTGTATGTTAAAAAAAAGTCTTGTGTGAATCCCTTGTTATAAGTAAGGATAGTATCATGTGAAATAATTCTTGTGTTAAGAATCTTCATTGTAGCACTCTGAGCAATCACATGGAATCTATATATTCCAAGTCACAGGATGTAATCGCTCTTTGTTCTAATTACATACTGGCTGTAAATGTTTCTGTTTCATTTTCTTGCTGGAATCACACTTAAACTAAACCAGAATCTGGATACATGTTGTTTCAAGGATTACCAGTTGTTATCGTCTTTAGAAGTTTTTTTGTTTTTGTTTTTTTTGACAAAGAAAAGTGCCAGAGCTGACAAGAGAAAATTTATAGAAAATCTTGCAGAAACAGCAGAAAATGCTGCTAAAGCACATGATCTACAAACCCTACACAAAATTACCCAGCAAATTTGCGGAAACAGAAACAATTATCACAGCATACCCATCAGAGATAACCAAGGCAGACTGCTCACCACAGAACAAAAACAAGACATGCAGTGGACTAAACACTTCTCCAACCTCTTGAACAGACCTGATCCTGAAAATCCCCCAGATATTCAACCAGCCTCTCAGGACATTGACATTATTACTGAACCACCAAGCAAACAAGAAATCCTTAAAGCTATCCACATTTTAAAGAACAACAAAGCACCAGGAAAAGACGAACTGCCAGCAGAACTTCTCAAAGTAGATCCCAACACAACTGCTAGCATTCTAGAACCATTGTTCAAGGATATTTGGGAAAAAGAAGTGTTGCCTGATGACTGGACTGAAGGAACAATAGTCAAAATCCCCAAAAAAGGAGACTTAACAGACCAGTAATTGGAGGGGAATTACTCTACTCTCAGTACCAAGCAAAATATTTTGTAAAATCATCATAATGCGGCTTGAACAAGGAGTAGATAAATGCCTACGAGTAGAACAAGCAGGATTCAGAAAGGGCAGAGGAACAACTGAGCACATCTTCGACATACCTAACATTTTAGAACAATGCAATGAATGGCAGAGAAGTATATATATTAATTTTGTGGACTTTGAGAAAGCTTTTGACAGCGTCTATAGAGACGGTCTGTGGAAAATTGTACGACATTATGGAATTCCAGAAAAAATAGTCAACATAATTGCTCTCTTCTATAAAGACTTTTCCTGCAGTATAAAAAAATTACAATACATCTTTCCCAGTAAAGACAGGTGTAAGACAGGGATGTGTTATGTCATCTCTCCTCTTCAACCTTGTGATTGATTGGATACTAAAGAATACAGTAGACAGGACATTAGGAGGCATACGATGGACTCCATTCACCATGCTTGAGGACCTTGATTTTGCAGATGATATAGCACTCCTATCACATAAACATGAACATATACAAGAGAAAAGTAACAGACTACACTGCACAGCAGAAATGGTGGGACTGAGAATAAATGCAAAGAAAACTAAGATCATGACAAACAGTCCAAACCAACAACCAGTGACCATAAGTAACCAATCACTTGAAAATGTAGAACATTTCACATATCTTGGCAGTGTGGTGTCCCTACTGGGAGGGACAGAGGAAGACATACAGTCACGCCTGAACAAAGCTAGAGCTGCTTTTGGAAAGGATGAGGCAAATCTGGAAATCCAACATTTACTGCAGAGGAACAAAACTCCGACTCTACAAGAGCATCATTTTGCTAGTTCTTCTTTATGGAGCAGAATGCTGGAGAATGACCAAAAAGGATGCACACAAACTGTCCACCTTCCACCACACATGTCTACGTAGAATTATGAAAATTTTCTGGCAGATACAATCTCAAACACTAAACTATTTCAAGCCACAAACCAAGAAACTTTAGACAGTATGATTACCAAGAGAAGATGGAAATGGCTTGGTCACGTTATGAGAATGACTTCTGATATACCTGCTAAAACAGCTCTCACATGGACACCAGAGGGAAAAAGAAAACAGGGGCGCCCAAAAACAACATGAAGACGAACGATGGAAAGTGACCTGAGTGCGGCATCTTTGACATGGAAAACTGCACTGAAGATTGCACAGGACAGGATAGCATGGAAAGTCCTCTCTGAAGCCTCATGTGCCACTAGGCATAACGAAAACTGGTGATGATTGTCTTTAGAGTTACTCCCTTACACATCTTAAATGTTACAACTACTGGTGCTCTTAAAGCAACCAGATCTGTTTTCTTGTTGCCTCACACTCATATATCATCTAGATGCATTTATGCAAATTATGTTCTTGTAAGAGAGAAATGTATGTGCCCATTTGTGTCATATCTGTTCATTGAAGACTTTACACAATACACTGACTGATTGTTCTTACTCTTGAGTAACCTTACAGTAGTAATTAACATTAGGATTCTGTTACTGTCATTTTGATAAAGGATTTGAATTGGGATTAAAACAAAGTAGCTGGAATTGTCTTCAGTCTACCTAATGAGAGAACTTTCCAGAAATGGTTAACTGCCATTTGTTAGACCAAACTTCAGTTGCCATTAACAGGACAGTGTGGTCTTCTTCAGTTTCATCAGTCAAACACTGGTAGTCTGGTAGTCTTAGTTTCAGCTTCATAGCAAACGGGTCGCCCCATCTTTGCTCCGCTCCTGTGCCAGCGAAAAACACCCAGAATGTTTATCACAGTCCCTTGTGGAAAGATTGACAGACTGCTGTCTCAGCATATCTAGCATACACTCGTATAAACGCATATGGTAGCCATCCGAAGTGCTAACACAAACAGTCCAACATTAGAAATGCAGTTCATCATTGATGATAGCAGAACTTGTCGCCAACAGATCAGCAGTTGCCCGCGCGATCAATCACTAATCAAACACTAATGCTCAGTGCCACACTAGATGGCAAGCAGCCATAATGTGGGTTTTAATTTTAGGATTCCACAGACATCAGTCAGGTGACACTGCCCCGGGGCTGGACGGAGTCAGGTTTACCCGCATGGAGCATAGGAGCAGCTTTGGTGCCCAAGGATTGGGTACACCCATCTGGCCCTAGTGCAGTGTCTTGCTTTTTACAATATAATTGTATATCCTCCGCCTGAATAAAATCCTTATAGTAATTATTATGTATGGCATAAATTATCTTTAATTGAAATCTTGAAATAACAAGAACTTTAAAAAAATTTACATTACACTTTGAGTACATTTTGGCTTATTAATAGCCAAACTGATCAATAACTAGGACAAACGTATGTATGGAAATATGATATATGCTTGACATTGCAACTTATTAGTTAAAAAAAAAAAAAACTTTCATTACGCTGTATTACAGACATTACATTACATACTATAAATAAAATTAAATATTTTTAAAGATTCCTAAATTTAATTTTGTTTCATTGTTTGCACAGTTTGTTTTACTTTTTTGCAGAGACTACCTAGCTCTCAATGTGTATGTTGCCTTGTGTTATTATAAACTGGACTATTACGATGTTTCTCAGGTGAGTTTACATAATTAATGATAATAAGATAATATTTTTTATTTGCTTTTGAAACTTCCACAGAATAACAGCATTATCATTAGTTTGAAATTGTATTCTTGGCCCCATATTGCAAAAAAAATAATACTAAGAAACCAATAAGTTTCCATGTTGAATTACAGATAATATTAAGTGTAATTCAGAACTGGAGAAACTACTCAAGGATTTGCTTCCCTACACAATACCTGAGGACTACATTATATAAAAATGTTATTGTCACAAAAACTTAAAGAAGCATTGTATTTGCAGGGATGATTATCCTTGAACTTGCTTCTGTCAGTGTCAGGATATGAAGTGTTAAGTTGCTTCAGATACCATTTGTTCATTCTTTGTGAGGAAAGCCATTTGTGTTTCAGCAATGTTGCTTTTAGTAAAGAACTGTCTATCGATAGTCATGATATGGCGGCCAGATCATTTTGGTTGCTCTTTTGATGAAATCTAACACTACAACAATCTACCATTTATGCTAGTCTGCTTTAAGAGGCAAATTATGGATACGGGCAAGAAAGTGTTACTGTTTTCACATTTACTTGCAGATGTTTTAGGCAATGTTTAATGCCATAAAATCCAATTTGGTCACTACTGAGACAATATGTTGGACTCATTATATGTGAGCAATAAAGCTATGTAAGCAATAATTTAATGAATCAATAAGAAATTTATATCATTACACTCATAATGAATGCTCCATCTACTTCCTCATTAAAAGTTTTCATTGTGATGGTACCTGCACATTGAGTGATGTTCAGACCTGTTGCTCAATCTGCTGAATCATTATGAAAACCAGATGTTGATGTTGTGTTTTGTAACACTACCCACTTGATCCACAGTCTTCAAACTGCCTTATAAGGTGGAGCAGCAACAGTTTTAGCAAACTTCATATTGCCCTGCATACTGTCGCCAACCCCGCGTGGATATACACTTATATAGTGAGTGTGTGAGTTTGAATCCTAGCACTGCACAACCACATGAGAAACTGGACTAATTCCTGAGCTAGGTTGATCCCAAACAAAGTCCTGGATAGCCAAGAAAACAGCAAAGGTGGATCATACAATAAAATGAAAGAAGATGTACTTGTATCCACAAAATTAGGAAAAGAGTTATAAGAAAAGAAAGTAAACCTTACCTCTCAGTTTGGGACTCTAGCCCTAAACTGAATTGGGGTAATCTCAGAGGAAAATAATTACATTTATCAGTTACCTGCCCTTAACTCTTTGAGTCCCAAGCAACGCATCATACGTTTATAGATTCCGACCTAGAGGCCCAAAGAACGCATGATGCGCCGATTTTATGTCTTTCTTGACTACCCCTTGGGCCTGTGATGCTAAACCCCCTGTGACTCAAAGAGATAAGGTTCTAGCTGGAGATGATTATCTGATACCTCAATTTTACAAACAAAACATTTTGTTAATAATACCCTTTTAAGTTTGGGTTTTCCACAGTTTGTCTGTTTAGTGTTTAGTAAGTTGCCATTTGAAACTTCCACAGAGAGATCGTGTCTTGTTTTAGAGAAACTATTTCTTCTTTCTCCCTCCCCCCAATAATTAGTATTTTTTATGCATGTATCTTATGTCATCCTTACATTTTGATGAGTGATGGAGACGGGTTCGGTTTATGTTGACCCAGGTGACTTCACGATAACTATGTCATGTAGATTCTTTTAGTCTCAGTTTCCAAGCCTACGGTCCACCTTTTATTATCTCTCCTAAGCTCCTCCTTTTTATTCTCACAAACCTTCTCGCATTCCAGGGATGTCAAAGCTCTGCCCAGGGATCAGTCCTCCATTCACTGAATGCCTGTCAGTCAAGAAGGCTCAAACACTTGTTTGCATTCCTACAGCTCATCTAGCTGGCCTGAGCTTTTGGTCACAAACCTAGTCACACTTTCCTTCTACATTCATTGACACCTGATCTGAAGTTGTCTGCTAACACCTCATTTCTGAAAGGTGTTAACCCTAGCCCTGGCCATACACTTAATTGAGATAATCTTAGAGGGAGATAATTACTTTATCATCAGTTACCTGCCCTTAAGGTTCTGGCTAGGGGATAATTATCTGACACCTCAGTTTTACAAACAAAACCTCCAGCAACCATCTACACTTGGTTGGTGTTACATTGCTTATTGACACTTCACCCCTGGACAAGCCTCTGAGTTTTAGACTTCACTATAGTCTAGGAGAAATTAAGTGGCTTTATTCTGGTTGGTCTTGATTTAGGTTATATCCAGGAGCATATTTTACCCTATAACTTAACTCTTTTAACACGGGAAGTTTTTCATATGTCTAGCCAAAAACACGGAGCATTTTTCCAGTGAATTTGGTTATTACTTTATTTAATTTTTTTGGATTGAAGTTCATGATTTTCACAATATTGTTAAAATTAATTGATGTATATGCAAATTATTTCATTTGCATATCTAAAAATAGAAAATTTGAATTTTCAACTTCAATGCATGAAACATATAACTAAAAAAGAAAAATATATTTTATTTGAATTCTTTTTATTGATCTTTGGCCTTTTTACAAATGTTGTAAGCAATTCAGTAGTCAAAAACAGGTATATATATATATATATATATATATATATATATATATATATATATATATATATATATATATATATATATATATATATATATATATATATATATATATATATATATATATATATATATATATATATGAAACAGCAATAATATCTTTAGGTGACATGTGTTTTTGACCATCAGTCAGCACAAGAAATGGATGTGCCGGAGTGTCAACACCTTCGAGTGGATATACCCTGAGCCATGGTTGGGCTGTGGTCTGAACACAACAGCGTCCCCATCTGATTCCCCACTATTACTACTAACACTAGATCCTACTTCAGTATCAACAGAATTAGTGTCATCACTTGATTTAAATGTTTTATCAACATCAAGTTTAGGGGCAGAAACATACGAGTCAGACATACTTTTAGCGGTTCAGGTCACTATCTAAAAATTTCAACAATTTTCAGTTCGATACCAAAAACTAGAAAGTCGCCATGTGTAAAGCTGATACAGCAGTGAATATAAATGAATCACTTTCAGTGTTTCAAATTAGGAGATTTCTTAGCGGTTCGAGACGAAACACGATCAGGCGGATGATCGGGCGTTCCGTGTTTTTGGGCAGACATCCGCCGGCCGATAATCGTCCCGTCCGTGCTAAGAGGGTTAACATACATAGACAAAAATTAAGTTGGGAAAAATACGTTCTGAAGTTACAGGTCATGTCGTCACACATACCCACATTTAGATATAGCTGGGCTTACTGTTTTTTCCTGGAACATGAATTATATTAAAATACCTTGTATGTTAACAAAATACTAAAGACATGATCCTCCTTAATGAAATTAAGTTGAAGAAGGGCACTTCAGAAATGTTTTACTGCCACTGTTAGTTTTAATTTAATGTAATTCCTAAATTCCAACTACCTTGAAGTGATCTTGTTACAAATAATTGATGCTAACTGAAGTTGTTTTCATTGAGTTGTTCAAAAAAGAGCACTAAAAGGACTATGCTACTATTGTTTTGGTAATAGGTACCGTGAAGATGGTGGTTAAATATCAAACAAAATTGTGACATGAAAGCCAAGAAATTAATAATCAGTTCTAAGAAAAAATAGAAGATAAAAGCTAAATAAATGTTATTTATTGGTCGCTAATCCTAGCATACAATTGTTATTACTATATATCATCCACTTGCTGTGGATTCAAAGGTTGTGGGTTTAAATCCGAACGGAACCTGACTTATTACAAATTTGACCTTGGCTCCCAGGTGGACCCAGCCTTGAGTGGGTACCGGATATAGTCCTATGCCAATTTGATACTGACCACATGACCCACTGAGTGCCAATTGGTCTATAAAATATAGGTCTAACACTATATGCCTGAAGGCATGGAAAAGGGTCTTTTTACTTGTTATGTCACATGATTGCAAACAAGAAAACTGCATATCATGTCAATATATTGACAGTTGGTAGATAAGGGACATGTATGATCAATGTTTTTTTAAACAATTTAAAAATACTTTCAGGAAGTTCTGGCAGTATACTTGCAACAGTATCAGGATAGTGCCATTGCTCTCAACCTTAGAGCTTGTAATCATTTCAGATTGTACAATGGAAAAGCAGCAGAGGTAAGTTATGTGAGAAAAAGCCAATAAAAGGACTTGTGTGACAGTGTATTTATCATCATCATCATTATGTACCCTGCCGACTGGCGTCGACATTCATGCATCTCCACAGATCTTGATACCTCGTCTTCTGGATCATTTAGACCAATGATATCCCTCACTTTCACCGTCTCAATTCCTCTGTCATCATCTCTCTTGGTCTGCCTGTCCCTCTTCTACTGTTGATCTTCCTAGTTGTCACAAAATTCTCCAAAGCCTCCTCCCTTGTCACATGACCACAGAACAGTACTTGTCTTTTCCCTATCATCATCATCATCAAACGCCTTGCCAGCTGGTACAGGCATTTATGCAACTCCACAGATCTCAGTCTTTGGTGTTCTAGATCAATTCAACTGATGGTATTCCTTCATGCCACTGTCTAAAGCCATCCACGATTATTTCTCTTGGTCTGCCTCTGCCTCTTCTACCAGTGATCTTTCCAGGCATCACGATATTTCCAGTGCACCTTTTCTGATCACATGTCCAAACTGTGTCTCCTTCTCCCTTTGTTGTTTATAATATTCTACTTCCATTAGCCATTTCCAGGCAATCATTGTTTGTTATTCTGGCAATCCAAGGTATTCGCAGCATTCTTCTCAAGAACCAAATCTCAGTTGCCTCCATTCTCTTCTCAGTTTGTTTGTTCACATTCCCTTTTCCTTATAAATTGATCTGCTTTCATTAGTTTCTTTCAGGCAGTCCTCGTTAGTTACTCTGGCAGTCCAAGGGATTCTTAATATTTATCCGAGGAACCACATCTCCATTGTCTCCAAGTTCTCTCTAATTTGTGCATTCAGATTACAGGATTCACTACCATACAACAGTATAGGTTCTACATAACATTTTAGTGCTCTCTTTCGGACATTCAAAAAAGAGGGACCTGTTGCACAGGATGTTCTTCATTCTGTGAAATGCAGTCGTAGCATGGCCTAGTCTGCTCTTAATTTCTGACACACATCTTCCATCTGATGTTATGATTGTACCCGGATATTTGAATTTATCCACTTTGATTGGCTTTTACCATTTATTCTAATATCACACTGTGGTGGCATTCTTTCTTTGGTATAGCTATTACTTTTGTTTTTATTATATTCAAGGACATATCCCTTTTTTGCACTCTTCCTCACTACAGTGTTCAATAACTTGTAGATCATTTGCATTTTCAGCTATCAGTACTGTGTCATCTGCATAAAGTATGTTGTTTATTTTATAACCTCCCACTCTTCTTCTTCTTCTTCTTCGATCCTTCTGTCAGAAAACTTATATCAGGAGGCCGGTAGCCTTTATGAAAGCTATCCTGCAATCCATATCCTCTCGTGTACCATACAGTTTTGTCTTCATTGTGGTTGGAACAGGCCAGATTGCGTCTCTGTTGTCAGCATACAGTTGACAGTGTTGGAGCACATGCTCAGCATTTTCGGGTGCCACGCTGTAGGGACACGTCTCCGTATTTCCTACACCGAAAAATTTGAACATATGTTGACGAAATCTGTTGTGCCCTGTCCTTAGTCTGAATATAATAGACTGTACCTCTCTAGAGATGCGATGAAGTGAGTCTTGGGGAGAAAATCTGTTGTGGGTATCCAGCCACCTTTCTTGGATACTAGATTGTATTAGTGTTTTCATCTCTTGGTGGGTTAAGTCGCTATTTGGTTGTACCATGTCACTGCCGCTTCTGGCCAATCTGTCCGCTATTTCATTGCCTTCCAAGCCACAGTGACCTGGAATCCACTGCAGTACAGATTGTTCTACTGAAGAACCTAAGTAAATCAGCTGTTGCGTCAAGTCTACAAACTGAGTGTCTTTTGGGTTAACAATTGCTTGTAGAACTGACATAGCATCAGTCAGAAAGACCACTCTGCTATATTTGCTGTGCTGTTGTCCATTCAGGAAAGAACATGCGGCTAGAAGTGCTTCTGCCTCTGCTCTGTAATTGGAGGAATATGAACCTGTTGGTACAGCCTGGTTGATTTTAAAACCATTTGGGCATTCTATGTATATTACCTCCCACTCTAATTTCTTATGTATCTTTGATCTCTCTCAATATCATCTCGCTATAGAAAAAGAAGAGGTCAGGTGACAAAACACATCCATTTCTTACTCCTAGTATGATCTTTTTATATATGCTCACTCTATTTCCCATTTTAATATCTGCCATTTGCTTTCAATAAATATTCCTAATAATATTTTTCGTCTGTTTTTCCCCCACATTTTCTAGTTTTCCTAATTCTGTCAATGTTCTCACATCCCGTGTCCCTATACTCAATTTGTTAATTTTGCCAGCAATAACCTAATGATGGTCTGGTGTCACTTGTGGCTCATGGATGTCTCTACCGGGCAAGGCTGTCCTAAGGCCTCTATTAAAGTTGTTCATGGAGTTCAATCTGTTTTGTTGCATGAAGTTCTTGGGAAAATAATGTTGTGGTTTCCCGTTGCCTTCCTCATCCACCAGAGGTATTTGACCCCTCCTTTAGCAAGCAGTTTCTGGCTGTTAGAACAAGTGAGTGCCATTCTCTGTTATGAGGAGGTGCAGTTGGTAGATTTTCCCCTTCATCCAATTTAAGACCGATGTGGCATTTCTCAAACCCTCTCAGTACCTTTAGAAAACAGTGTAATCATATTCACTAATAAGGAGGGTCTTCTTCACGTAACAGACTACTGTCTCCTATCTCTCTCTCTCTCTCTTCTCTCTCTCTCTCTCTCTCTGTCTCTCTCTTTGTCTCTCTCTGTCTTCTCGCTCTCTCTCTCTCTCTCTCTCTCTCTCTCTCACTCTCTCTCTCTCTCTATCTCTCTCTTAATTTTTTTTCCATAATCCTGCCATTCAAAATCTTTGTAATTTTAATTTAATCAGGGAAATTGTTAAAATTGCAGACGAGAATATCACAGGGTTCGACCAGTCAATTGACAGTTCTTTTGCATGTAGGTCATTGATAATTTCTAGGGGACCAGGTTTTCCCATCAGTTAACAAAAGGGCACCATCGGAGAACTGTTTTTTTTTTCCAACAGTGTGTAAACACACACACACCCACACACTGCTCTTCAAAAGTCAAGGGCCAGCCTATTATTTTCAAGGCACAGTTTCCTTACATGACATCAGTTTGGTATTTAACTCTTTGAGTCCCAAGGAACGCATCATATGTTCATAGGTTCCTACCTAGAAGCCCAATGAACGCATGATGCGTCAATTTTTTTACTTTCTTCACTACCCCCTGGGCCTGTGATGCTAAAACACCTGGGACTCAAAGAGTTAATAAAAGCTGTTTTCACTGATATTACATTTATATCACTATTGTTTTATGGTTTGAACCAAGGTTTTTCTAAGTGGCCTTTGACTTTTAACACGTAGTGTGCGTATGTGTGTGTGTGTGTGCGTGCGTGCATGTGTGTGTATGTGTATGTATATATATATATATATATATATATATATATATATATATATATATATATATATATATATATATATAATTATATATGTGTGTGTGTGCGTGCATGCGTGCGTGCATGTTTTTTTTTTTTTTAGTCATTGCCTCTAATTGCACCTGCAGCTCTTATCACCCCCTGGACGGTTCCTCCACCCCTAAAATCTGACTGATAAAGCAACTACCTCCTCAACTGCCTCAGCACCCTAAGGGGGACAGCAGTGCACCACCCCTGTCCAAAATTTTACTGATAAAATTACTGCCCCCTTTATTGCCCCCACCACCTCCAATTGGATTGTAGCGCCCAGAGTTTGAAATATCATTGTAACAAGTTCTGCATGTCTGAGTTCTAGGATAAATTTCCCTCTGTGATTCTTCCAGTACTGCTCTACGCTTGTGAAACGTGGACTGTGTATCAACGTCATGCTATAAAGTTGAATCAGTTTCATATAACTTGTCTCAGAAAGCTGCTCAAAATCAAATGGCAAGATAGGATCCCAAATACTGTGATAGGGCAAACATACCTAACATCCACACAATACTGAAGAATTATCAGCTGCGTTGAGTTGGTCACCTAGCCCACATGCCAGACTATCACCTCCAAAAGAGAGTATTTTATGGCGAGCTTCTGCAGGGGAAGAGGTTCCAGGGAGGACAGAAAAAGCGCTCTAGGGGGCACTCTGAAAACTGCTCTCAATTCTTTTGGCATCAACACAGTGGCGTGAGAGGCTGCTGAACAGGACCGTTCTGAATGGCGTACATCCCTCAGGCATAGTTTATCGGACTGCCAGGCAACAGAGGTTGCACAGGCAGAGAAACAGAGGCAGACTAAAAAGAACCGTATCGATAATCCCACACTTACTGCTGCTTCCACCTGTCGTCCGCACTGCTCAAGAACTTTATTGGACTAATCAGCCACCTTCGTACTCATGATCATTGTTCATTACTACTTTGAATGAAAAGTGGTCCATCACTTATAATGGATGAACAACAACGCCTGGTTTTAGCTTCCCTTTGCTAGTTCATTGTTGCCTCCATCACTGCCATTTGTTTAGTCATTGCCCTTAAATGCACCCGAGGATCTTACCACTTCCTGGCTTGTTTCACCGCTTAACAAATTTGACCAATCAGACTACCACCACCTAAACTGTCCCAGCACCCCCAGTAGGATGAAAGCGCCCACAATGGAAAAGACCAATACGCTATTGTGGCATCCCATTCCTTTAGTCAGAAAATGCTTCTTGACCCTTCCACTACCCTACAAATTTGACGAGCCAAGCTACCTAAATTGCTGCAGCACCCTGACTGGGACAGTAGCGCCCACAGTATGAAGGACCAGTACGCTGTCATGGCTCCCACTTTAGCCATAATTAATTGTAGTTACCCTGTTATTGCTTTTTTTTTCTGTTTTTGCCAAATGAAGTTCAAATGAAAGCACTAAGAACAGTGAAACTGAAAATATAGAATGATTTTTATTTTTTAATTTTTAATTTTTATTGTTAAATTGTAGCTACAGCTTGAACCAGGAAATTCTGCCTATTAGG